CCAATTAACAATAATAGAGGTGAAGAACTTAAAGAAGTGAATATTCATTTACATCCCCAAGAAGGCAGCTGTGATCATGCACAAAGTCTGCAAACAAATCAGGAACATAGCAGGTACCTACTATTAAAATTAACTCAAAAGGTTTTTAAAAACTCAAATATGGAAAATGGAAGCAGGATTTAAATATGATGGTGCACCAGGTAGGTCACTGATACCAAAGACGTTTAGAAGTATTCAGGAGTTGGAAACGTCATGTTGTTGTTGCTTTTCTTGGGTAACTGTTGTCTCTGTGATCTGGGGTGAGGACTCTGTCAGCGCTGTGCACAGGCACTGGTTCTCAAAACATTCCTGTAGTTTTGCTTGTTTATGCCATGAACCTTTGAGAAGTAGAAAGCTTTACTTTTCCTTGTGGAACCCAACTGTTTGCCACTTGGGCGTTCCTCCAACTCCCCCAGCTTCCCTTAATTGTGCAGGATCTCTTGAGGATCCCGTGGGAACTTTCTCTTCACCTCTTCCCTTGCTTTCCCACTTTCACTGACCTCTGTCCCTCACCTGAACTCCTAGGAAGGCTCTCTCCTTTCTGTCCTCCTCCTCTTGAGCTTGTTACCATGTCTTATCCCTTCATTCCACCTACTCAAGTAGTCCTACCCCAAGCTGTTGTATAGTAAATCCCCAGATCTTGATAAAGATGTAATGGGAAATGACACTACAACCCAAAGTGGCACACAACATAGACGTGAATATTAGAAATTACTGAATGAAAAAGTAACTGTTTTTGTAAATAAAGTGTTACTGGAACATAGCTATCCAGTCATTTACCTATTGTCTGTGGCTTTTTCACACTATGGCACAATTGAAAAGAGCAGTGCCCCTTTTACCTGTGGGGCATACATTCTAAGATCTGCAGTACATTCCTAATACTGTGGATACTACTGAACCCTATATGTACTATGTTTTTTCCATCTTATCTATGCACTCATTGCACACTGTGGCCATGACTTTTTCAATTTGAGGTGTGACAGCAAAACTAGCACAAATTTTCTTTTCCCTCTTCATAATTCACTGGTGGAAGATGTGTCCTTACTTAGATCTTAGCAACTTGAGGATATTGCTTTTCTTTTCTGAAGTTGAAAACTTTCACTTTTTACTTAAAGGAAGCACTTCAGAGCTTTTGTTTGGCATGTCAACTTGCCAGCATCACTACTCTTGCACTTTGGAGCCATAAGTAAGTAAAATAAGGGTGACTTAAACACAGCACTGTGATACCATGACAGTCCATCTAATAAGCCACATGCTGCTTTGTGACTAGCAGGCAGGGAGCATATACTGTGGATACACTGGGCAAAGGAAGGATTCATGTTCCAGGTGGGATCACTCGAGATTTCATTATGCTACTCAGAATGGCATGCAATTTAAAACTTATGAATTGTTTATTTCTGGTTTTCCATTTAGTATGCTCAGATTAGGATTGACCATGAGTGGCTGAAATCATGGAAAACAAAACCATAAATATGCAAAAAGGAAATCAATGGTTTGCACAGTTGGAACTTGAGCAGATCTCTATTATTTCTCAGGTTTCAGTGAAAGTATCTTTTAAAGGAAGACTAGAAATTAACTGTTTGAGTGTGAGCCTTGCTTAGAATTAAAAATTCCCTTGTAAGAAACAATTCTAATTTCTATTCTTACCCCAGAATGGAGTAGGTTGGTGAGCAATGTCATTAACCAATATCTGATGCCTGTGACTTTTTAATTGTTAGAAATTTGTGAGATATTTTTAAACATCATTTTTCTGTGGGAACTACCATACATACTAACAATGTGTAAAATACCATATTGTCTAACCTAATTATATTATTGAGCCATTCTGTTAACCTCTGGCCTCACATTTTTGATCTGAAAAGCAGCAGCTGAAATGGTTACTCTCCAAAGCTATTTCTAATGCTAACCTAACTTTCTTTTTGCCTTTTTTGTATACTTAGATGTGAGATGTAAGTTAGTTTAAGACCACAATGCTCAAATGAAATTTTCTGTTTCCACTATTAGAATAAGAACGGAATAATATGCTTTATCATTGAAAATCTACTTATGGAATATGTTTTGCAATATATTTACTTTTTAAAGCCTTCATTGCCAACAGGGACAAATAAATGTGTTCCATCTGAGAAATGCCCTTCTTCCTTTATTTGATTGGTTTCAGGATACCTGCTTTGGGTGTGGCATGCCACAGCAATGCTCTTGCTGGTAACAGCTTTTGGCAGGCAGATGCTTACTAAGTGCAACAGAGGAGGCATGGCTCCCAGGGCCAACATCAAAAAAGATAGTGTATCTTCTGTCTAGCCATTCTCTTTCAGGTTTTCACAAACACCTAAGTTGCAATTCACCAGGGCATTGAAAAGCATCATGTAAATATACTAATTTAGGGGCAAATAATCATCTAACATTGTTTTATTTTAAAGAAGTGGGACTCTGATAATGGCATTACCAACCACCAACTACATCATAGCACAGTTCATAAAACCTTACAAGAGATCTACCACGCAGCTCAAAACCAGGTATTCATGCATTTTCGCCATTCTCTTCTCTTTGGCAGTTTGACAGAATCTTTAGGAGGAGCTAGAGGAAACATGAGTTTTTACTCTGCTCCTCTCAAAACCTTGACTCTTTTGAGTTCCTTGTGAGGACCTTAGGAAGTTCACTGTCAATACTGTCCTCCGAGCTTAGTCACTAAAATGTTCTCAAGGCTGAGGGACAGATATTAGCTTCACTTCATAAGTCAGCTCGCTAGCCTGATTCAGGAAGGTTTTCGGGAAGCAGACAGTCATATCTCTCATTGTTTTTAGAGACAAATTCAGCTTTGCTTCTAGTGTCTAAAATTGGTAAAAATAAAAATCTCTCAGAATGTTTTAGCATCTGGTAAGCTGATGCAGGAAAGACTGGCAGAGGCATGTTAAATGCACTTGACAGCAACACCCATTTGTTTCATTCAGTGTTAAGTCCATATTTGTTATACATCTACTGCAGGCCTAGAACTGTCTGGGCACTGAAGGAAAGGCAAGAAAACTCCATTCCTGAGGCATGGAGCTTGTCCAGACAAATAGGCAACAAGCTTTGGAACCTAGCAAATGGAGCCTCCTCAGTTTAGTTAACTCAACAAAACTTGAAGCAATCAATATGAAAACTCTCAATTATAGTAAGAATGCCTTGATGAACACCTAGTGTGGAAATTTCATTGATTGAAAAAAATTTCAATTAAACTTCAGTCCTTGGACCTAATCAAGGACCTATAACTAAGAAACAAAGCACTAATCATGCTTTTCTGTATCTTTTGAATTTTGTCACAAGAAAAATAAACTTATTTTCAAGCCTATAAATAGAAGAAAAGCATTTTTTAAAACTTTATTGAGATATAATTGGCATATGGCATGGTGTACAGATGGCTGTGGAGATGGGTAAATAGATTCTCTGTTTTCATAAATAAGTGTCTACACTGAACCACTAAACATTTCTGTTATATAACTATTTTATTACTGTCAGAATGAAGGGAAGCAATAATTTCCCTTCCTTGAATTTTCTATTCAGTGTCTCCTTAATTATACCTCCTTTATTCTGTGTCATCATGGAGTATCCAATTTTACAGTCATGGATATTTAGGTGTTTATTTTATACATCACCTCCACACTTAGTGTCCCGAGTGCTCTGTGAAGAGCTCGAATATTATGTTGGTCTGAGAGGAAGTGGAAATTCCATGGTTTTTTAATCCATAAAGTCTTTGGCTCATCTCACACACAGAACTGTTGAAATACATATACAGTTTTGTAATTCCAGAAGAAGCATTCGACGTTTGTACTGAGAGCCTTCATTTCCTCCCCATCCTCTCATTCTGTAACCCTCTGCAATACAGGTTCTACCCCCACCATTGTATGGATAAATGTGATGTTGATGTATATGTCAGATTGCTAAGCAATTTTTCTTTACGTGATTCCAAATGTAATAGAAGATCAGTCAACACAGAAAACCAAAACCTGCTTTGTTGCAATAAAAAGGGTATCAAAAGTTATACACAAATTTGATTCTGCTTTTTCCTACTTCTGAATATATTATAGTTTCTCACCCTGATGTTTTTGACATTGATTGTTGTATGGAATTCCATCCCACAAGGCTACCTACCACCAGTTCCTTAATACTATTATTAGATCTTTAGGGTTCATATTTTTTCTGAAATTATACATCATCGCTCCCAGTTCTGATTATTTCTTTAGGACAAGCTCTAAAATGGAACTGGTGGCTTAAAATCCATCTCCATTTAAAAACATTTCACATTTGGAAAAGTTATGTTAAAAATTAAAATAAAAGTCTTCGGGTGCTGGTCCCCTCAAAATGTTTATTCCCATTGGTCAATGTCATTCTTCTTTGGCAACTAATACAAAGAAAAGGTCAATTTCTTTTTCTTTCCTACCAATCACGTTACTCTTTGTTTTTTCTTTAGTCATACAGGGTGACTCCCAACCCTGTCAGTAAATCTTGCTCGTTCTTAATTTACCAGCATTAAAAGATTGTTTCATCATAAAAGTTCTCAATATCTACATGACCTAACCAAGTCCCACCCATGCTAACTCGAATGATATTCCTTGCTTCCAAAAATTTGCCACTTAGTACACCCTGGTCCTTATATTCTTTCATGCATGGATATATCATCTTCAATGAAACATTTAGTTCTGGAAGGGCAAGGGCCCCATGGAATTGACGCTTCATATGCTTAATTGCGCAGTGTTGCTTAATAGTTTTCCTTCCCAGGGGTCCTCTCAAGGGAGTAGGGGACAGAGTAATTTATTGCACATCAGGTGTTGAGAATGCAGTGGCCAAATCAGCCAGGCCAGGCCCTTTCCAGTCCAGACCTAAGCACAACCCCAAGGCAGAGGCCCCTCCTTGCAGGCGGCCCCATTAGCCCTGCCCTCCTCCCGTGCCCGCCCAGGACACGCCCACCTGTGGTTGGCGCCTGACACTCTTTGAATCTGGGGTGTGCAGGGTCCCCTAATTTGACTCAGTGAAGTACCTGCTCCTTGACTCTGAGGTTTCCTGCTGATCTCCCAGAAAATGATAGCGTCTGGCAGAAGGCAAAAGACACCTCTCTGCCTCCCCAAGAGTCCCTTTTCTTCGTGGAGCTTCGTTGGGATCATTTTGGTGGCTCTAGTGCTCCTGTTACCCACATCTTTCGGTAGGAGGTTGGCGTGGGTGTAGCTCCCGGGTCGAACTGCACCAGGCCTGGGAGCAGGCAATCCGGAGCCAAAGGAGGGGAAGCTTCGTTTGGAGGGTCAGGTTGGAGGCGCAGGGCTTGGTCCCTCTGGATGGTGCGGGGCCGGGGTGAAGGCGGGGCCAGAGAAGCCCAGGGTTTTCTGTGAACAGATCTAGGGCGGTGGAAACCCCTGAATATCCAAGGTGAAAATCGCTCAGTGGTCGGCCCCGAACCGCGGCGGACTCTGGGCACCGCAGGTATTTGCCCAGGCCTAAGCTGTGTCCCTTGCAAAAGCTTGCAGGTGTTTGGGGCTGAATAAATCAGGATGCGAAGGGCGGACGGACCTGGTGCTCAAAGGAGGGACTTGCTCTTGAGTGCCCCCATGCGTGGGGAATGTTAGTAGGCCTTTGGTGTGCCCATGAGAAGGGTTTGGGCTGTGCTGCTGAGGCGGGGTGATGCCTTGGTGAGTGTGCTGTTGTGCCCCACTAGATTGGGCTGAGGTACCCCAAGAGGGTGTTGCCTGGAGTGTGTTTTGTGGAAGTGTCCAGGGCACCAGTAGGGCAAGGAAGCTCGCTGCTTGTTTTGTATGGGGCTGGGAAGAGCATGTTGTATGTATAGAGCTCACCGGATAGAAGGCTCTGGGTTCCCAGGCTAGAGAGTTTTGGAAGAGTGTGCAGTGCTTTTTATCCATACAGGTAATAGGTTGCTTGTCAGCCTAGTGGGGTTTGTTTGTTTGTTTGTTTGTTTGTTTGTTTTGTTTTTCCTGCCATGGAATCATCTTTGTGTTCCTATCCAGTATAGGTGGTATCGTATTCTATTCTACCACCAAATGGCTTTGACTTTTTTTTTTTTCATTATCTTGGGTCCTATCTGAGGGATGATGCAAAACAACCTAAAAAACATCAGTAGCCAAACTTAATGAGAAATTAGTATCCTAAAAAATTTGTTAATATACTTTTCCCTATGGCTCATAAACTAAAGCTGAAGGCCCTTCCACTAAGCTTATTTTGTGCTTCACTGAATCCAATGTGTACACTAATATGTGTGTGTGTGTGTGTGTGTGCGCGTGCCAAAAAAGACATACTTATACAAAATGTACACAAGCACGGGGCAACCATTTTTAACACTTGAGGATATATTTTTTCTCTCTTCTTATGCCCCAATTACTTATAGGATTCCATTACATATACAGTTTGTTTGTATGCCACATTCTGTCCTTAGCAGAATTCATTCAGTCGGTATTTGCCTTTTTATGTGCCAGGTCCTGTGCTGGTTTGGGGGCCACACTGGTGAACAATACCAAACCATTCCAACTTTCATGATCCCTGTTTCACTATTTATTTCTGCACTCGTGCACACATGCACACATATAGGAATGTAAGCTGGGACTGTGTTTTGCCCACTGTTAGATCCAGGCACATAGTAGGCAGTCCATCAACATCTGCTGAAATTTATTGGAACTGGCAGAAAGGAACCAAACCATAATACTGGTATGTTATAACCCCAGACAGGTGCCCTGGAGGGAAGGAGCATGAGTCTCCGACAGCATTTAACAAGTGACTGGTCAAAGGAAGACTCTTCTGCTCATGAGACAGGCTAAACTCTGCTGCTTTGGGGCTTCTGCCCTTGCTGTCCCTCAGTGTGGGAACATTCTCCTGCCACCTCTTACATAATTGGCTCCTTATCCTTCAGACTCACTGATGATGTTACCCCCTCAAAACATCACCTTCTCTCACCAAATTATCTCAGGGAGACACACACACCCCAGTTCAAATCCCCTCTAACTTGCAGTCACTCTTCTTCCAAAACTTTTTTTTCAGTCCATTCTCCACTGGAATTCAGAGATCTTGTGTGTCTGGTCACACTTCTGGTTCCAAATGCTCAATATTTTTACCTCAGAGTCAGTGCTCTTGTCTAAATATTAAGTGCCAGAATATTAAGTATAAAATACAGCTGGATCTTAGAAATCAGGCAGAAAAATATTCCTCCTGCTTTGAGGGGAAAATTTCTTCCAAGAGCCATGCTTGGAATGGGCTTTCTGTAGCGTCTAAGGAGCCAAGGCAAAACCAGCTGGGGGTCAGAGAGGCTCTGTCTTCCCCTGTTTATGTTGAGTCTGCACGTTTCAAGTTACTCCCGTCTTCTTAATGTTGATTACTTAAAATTTCCTTTATTGGGGAGTGAAAGAATAAAAACAGTGATGGTAAGAAGAAAATTAAAGGAATTTAAAAAAAATAAAGATTAGGCTAAACTCTAGAAATTGAAGGAAACTATAAATACAGTTTGGAATAGACAAAAATAGATAAAGTGCATAGGAAGCAATATGGAAGATAACAAAACTAGAAATGAAGAGGAGGAAAGACAAGGTAGAAGGTTAAGGCTGAAAGGTAAAATCAGAATATAAAAAGTCACGGGATGTATTGTACGGTATACAGAATATAGTCAATAATACTGTAATAACTATGGATGGTGCCAGGTGGGTACTGGACCTGCCAAGAGGATCACTTTGGAAATTATATAAATGTCTAACCCCTATGCTGTATACCGCGCTAATAATAATGAATGCCAAGTATAATTGAAAATATAAAATAAAACAGGCTCCATTTTCTAGGAAAAAATAAGAATAATACTGTAGGTCATTAGGGAAAATAACGTAAAATAAAACTTAGAGAGTAAAAGTGAGAAATCACTATGCCCTGCAGGAAAAATACATGAAAAAGTAAACATTTCACTTGAAGCAGCTCAGGAGGAGACTTTGTAAGTAGACAGTGTTGTGGCGGGGAGCCTTGCATCTCAGAAATATTTGCCAAAGGGTTTGACATCACAGAAGGGAATATTTGTAGAATTTTGGGGCCAGTCTCATTCTTCCAGAGAGGGATGCTTTCTTGGACAAAACTTAAAATCTATTTCTGTGGATGGTCTCTACTGCCTATTTTAGGTCTTTTCTTCCTTTCAAATTAAAGAAGCCAACATCAACAAGTACTTATGCAATAGTTTCTCAGTTTCCTTAGTCTCTATATTACAATGCAAAGAAAGAAGTTCTTACCTTGTCAATTGCTAGGTTTCTAGAACACTAAATGATAGACAACAAAAGAAATTGATAACCACATTCTTCCCCAGCGCATAAAGTTTAAACCAGTTATTTTTAATGCTATATTCATTACAATATCTTCACCATTGTTTTCTGTATGATAGCAGTGATACTGTTGACTACCAAATTTTTTTGAATAGCTACTATGAGGGGCACATTGTGCTAGGTCTTATGGCCACATGGATGAGTGAAGTTAGCCATGTTAACTATTCAATGCAAAAGTATGTGCTAATTATCAGAGAAATACAAGCACAGAAGAGTCCAGGAGAAGAGGATTGGTCTCTGCCTCCCTGGAGGAAGCAGAAAAGGCTGCATAGAGGAGATGTTGAGTGGATTCAGTCTAAGAAGACGAGTTGAGCAGGAGGTACAGCTGAGAAGGTAGAAACAGTGCCCATGAATTGCAAAAATTTTAATTTTTATAATGTACATATTATGCAAAATGATCTGTAGAACCAATTCAATCCCTATCAAGATTCCAATGACATATTTCATGAAATATAACCAACAACTCCAGAAGTTGTATGAAACCACAAAAGACCGAAAGCAGCCAAAGCAATGTTAAGAAATCGTAAGGAGGCATTACATTTTCTGATTTCACACTATAGTTGAGAGGTTTAGTCATCAAAAGAGCAAGGTCTTGGTATGAAAACAGACATACAGATCAATGCAACAGTAGAGAGCACTTAGAAATATATCTATGCATATATGGTCAATTAATTTCTGACAAAGAAACTCAGTTTATATAATTGTCTCTTCAATCAATGGCATTGATAAAACTGAACCCCTATCTTACAACATACACAAAACTCAACTCAAAGTATATTAAAGACTTGAGCATAAGACCCAAAAACCATAAAACTCCTAGAAGAAAACACAGGGGTAAGTACCTACACATTGCTCTTGACAATGACTTTTTTGGATTTGACACCAAAAGCAAAAGCAACATTAACCAAAAAAAACAAAAAAAACAAAAAAAAAACTAGTAGGCCCTGACCAGTGTATCTCCATTGGCTGGGCAAGACTAGAGGTTGCCAGCTCAATTCCCAATTGGGGCATATGCCTGGGTTGCATTTTCGGTCCTGTTCTGGGCACATGTGAAAGGCAATGTTGCTCTCTCACATCAGTGTTTCTCTCTCACATCAATGTTTCTCCCCCTCTCTCTCTCTCCTCCCCGTCTCTCTAAAAATAAATAAAATCTTTAAAACAAGTGGAACTACATCATACTAAACAATTTCTTCACAGCAAAGGCAATCATCAACAAAATGAAAAGAACACCTACATAGTGGGAGAAAATATTTGCACTGAAAATAATTATCAGTTAAAGGGATAATATCGAAAATGCATATGACACTAGTAAAACCTAACATAAGAAAAATAATCCAATTTTTGAAATATGTGCAAAAGACCTGAATAGACATTTATCCAAAGAAAACATATGATAACGTGCTCAACATCACTAATCTTTAGGGAAATGCAAATCAAAGCTACAGTGAAATATCACCCGACACTTGTCAGAATGACTATCATAAAAAAATTAATAACAAGAGCTGGTGAAGATGTAGAGAAAAGGGAACCCTCATACACTGTGGAGGGATTGTAATATGGTACAGCCACTATGGAAAACAGTATGAAGAATCCTAAAAAAATTTGAAAATAGAGCAGCTATGCAATGCAGCAATACCATTTCTGGATATTTATCAAAAAAAAAATCATTAATTCACAAAGATATATGTACCCCTATGTTCATCATAGCACTGTTTATAATAGTTAAGATATGGAAGTGATGTATGTTTTCTTCTCATCTCTAGAGGAATAAAGATAATATGTACATAATGGAATATTGATTATATAATTTTATGTGTATATATTTATTGTATAATTATAGATGATGGAA